GACATCTTTCGTTTCAAGAGAAGTCACAATCTCCCTTACAAACACAGATGCGTAATTTATTATCAAAAAAACCATAAACAAAATACAGCACAGTGAAGATGAGCAGCTTGGCGACACTGAAGTGAACACACACACACATCCTCAGATCTAACGGCAGCGCGTATCATCTGCGGTGGGCACACGAGCAAAGGCAGTGGGGTATGTCCCCAGAATAACGTTTTATTATAAGGATGAAAACTAAAAAATTCTACTTGGTGGCATAATAGTAAGTACATGATGGTTCTTTCTAGTGTCCTCTTATGTCCTCCCTGGTCCCACGCTGCTATGCTAGGCGTATCTTAGGGCCCAGTATCTACTTACTGGCTTACTGGAAGGCCACTGTCATGTAAGAACAATCAGGTCATGACTGGCTTGAGCTGTGTGGTGTAAAGAACACAAGGCTAAGGGTCAACAGGCGGTGTGACAGACCAACCCTTCCGCCACCAACTAGACACAGGACCCGGGGCAAGCCACCTAGCTCAAACCCTAGCTAGGCCTTGCCTGAAGGAGGCGTGCCTGGGCGCACAGAATCTCAAGGCTTTGCCTTGTTGCTTGAACCTGCACAAAAGAGTTCCTGCTCTCCAGAAATGTGCTGTCTAGAAGTATCAGACCCACCCACAGGTGATTCTATCAAGCAAATGCTAGGAAGGGGTTTCAGAGAAGTCAGATGACACACGCAGAGAGATTTAATTTGCAGGATTCTCTCAAATTCTCTTAAAGGAGGTTTTTATAGAACTTTGAATCATGCTGAAGATGTTACAATACTGTTGGAAAAATGCAGAGAAAACGAAACCTTGATCAAAACAGCCAAGCAGGGCTGAAGTGCGGACCATCAGAAGTGGTGAGCCCACAAAAAAGTGGTTGGCGAAAAGCGATACACTGAGAGTCTGCTAGTAAGAACGCCCTGACAAACTGTAGAATCCTGGTTTGACTCATTGTGGAGCAATTCTATTTTCAGACATGCTACTGATATTCTTTTGTGTGTGTCAGACCCCACAGCTACACGCTTATGCCACTCATGGACTACTGAATTATAAATGGTCAGTATTTAAAACAGAACCAGATCCGACACTTCATAAGTGTTACGTAAGTATTTTTTTAAAGTACAAAATAAATAAAATAACTTTACAGTATGCCTAACACTTTGCTTGATATTCTTCTATGTATTTCTAAATCTGTCCCTAAATCATTGGATGACATGAGGCAACAAAGCAGCAGACTTGAATTTCAGTCCCAGCTCCAGCAAAAAAGACTTTTGCTTAACTTATGAAGCAGAAAGTTGTTCTATCTATTGAGAAAGATATTAAACTTGATTTGGTGACCACTAAGAGTTAACCATGCTGCAAATTATTCTGTGATCAAAAATATGCACACATTGGAAGTAAATATACCAGCTTAGGGCAGTAAAAACAACTTATACAAGACCTCTTTTGGCATAATCAAGATTATCTTTTTATCAAGTAAAAGATTATTTTCCCATAATGTGTAATTGTCCAATAATGATGAGGCTGGGTATCTAAGCCCTCATGCACCAAAGCAGTCAGAGAGTCAAGAATTTATACTCAGGAAACAATGCCCAAGGCCCCTCCTCGGGTTCCATTAATTTGCTCAAGTGGCTCGCAGATTTCAGGGAAATATGTGTATTTTACCAGTTTATGGAAGGATATGATAACATATATAAATGAACAGCCAGATGGAGAGATACACAAGGTGAGGTCTGAGAGGGTCTCAAGGGTCAGGTGCTTCTGTCCCCATGGAGCTGGGATGCATCACCCTTCCAGGACATGGATGCTGGAAGCTCTCCAAATCCTGTATTTGGGGGATTTTTATGGAGACTTCTTCATGTAGGCATGATCAATCATCAACTCCACGTTCAGCCCTTCATCCCTCTCAAGAGAATGGTGGAGTAGGGCTAAAAATTTCCAGCCTCCTTCCTGACTTGGTCTTTCTGGTGATCAGCCCTCACCCAGGAGTCACCCAGGAGCCCACTGAGAGTCGCCTCCTGGGAACAAATGACACTCCTAATCACCCAGGAAATTACAAGGGTTTCCAGAGCTCTGTGCCAGGCACCAGTGGCAGAGACCAATGGGCATCTCTTCCATCATCTCAAAGAAAACATTGGAAGGTGGTTCCTTGCATGCCCCAGCCTGATTCTCTAGGTCAAGATGAGATCCACATCTCAGTCACAAGGCCCCCTGCAGATGACGCAGAAATCATGGTGCCCAGGATCCCTGCCGATTCTAGTCCAAACTGAGACCCTCCATGCTCCTCGGGTTCCTAGTTGTCCACACTGGGGACCGTCATGTCCCAGTGACAGTATCATAAAGGGTGAAGAGACCATGATAAAAGCACAGTAGATGCCAAAGATACGTTCTTGGACGTGTGCATTCATGGCGGTATAGCCAAGTAACTATTTCACATTTTAAGAAAAATTAACCAGGAAGTGATTAAAAAGCACAAGCCCTAAGTGATACCCACATATTCCCCTGCCAAAAGGGATGTGCAATGACGTCACACGGGAAGTTCCTCTGAGACTCCAAGTGCCCTCTCAGCAAGGAACAGGCAGGACTCGGGGCCCTGGGAACCGGGAAGGAGCAGGCAGGGGGAGGCGCGGGGTGCTCCAGCAAAGACGACATGTGCGGAACACACTAAGGATATCACAAAAGGCTATTTAAGATGACCCAAACCCAGGCTTTGGTCTTCCGGTCCCAATGTCCACTCTAAAGGTGGGAACCTGAGTTCATCTAACCCGTTCCTGGCTTCCAGGTGTGTCACACGTCTCTTCTAAACTCTGCAGAACAGAGACTGTCTATTTTGGGCACAATAAGAAGCGATCTGGTCAAGACAATACACAAAAGATTTAAAGATAATCACATACTTAATTTTGGGATTTGAAAAATACTGCACGGATCTGCCAAAATGCGTGTGTATGTGTGGGCATGTGTGTGTGTGTGTGTATGCACGCACACGCACGTATATACAGCACATCCCGTCAGTCTGTGTTCTAAGCTTTTCTAAGTTCAGAAGTAGAATGCTACTGACATAAAACATGTCATTTGGAGGTTTAATTATTTATCTTTTTATTATACTCAGTTTTGTCAATTTCAAATAATAAATCATTGCTTTGAATCTTTGTGTCAATTATTCTGAGTGAAAATGAAAAAGTTGACAGAAACAATAACAAATTCAGGATTCAAAACTAATTAAGTATAAGTTTCATCTGGGCTGATGAAAGCAAAACACTCATTATGTGGGAAAAACGGAGCTGAGATTTGCAACAACATGGATGAATCTAGAGGACAGCGTGCTACGTGAAATCAGACAGACAGAGAAAGACAAACACTGCCTGTTACCAGCCGTATGTGGAGCCGACTCCCCAGGAAGTCAACCCCACAGAAACAGAGAAGTGGCTGCCAGGGACAGGGCTGGGGGAAACAGGAGAGGCTGGTACCAGGGCACCAGCCGCTACGAGAAGAAGGACTCGGGATCTGACGTACAACATGACTAGAGTTGCTAACACTGGGCTGTCTAGCTGAAATATGCTGAGGAAGTGCACCGTAAGTATACATGTGAGGTGGAAAAACAGTGGAATCGTGGACAGGGGAGAGTAGGAGAGTGTAAGCCCCTGGGAAACAGCCAAACCCTGGAAGAATTTGACTTCAAAGGCTGTGACATTGGTGGGCTCAGGCCAAGACCTCCCAGAGATCCGAGGAACCAGGTAATAGCTGGCTTCCAGGAGAAAGCACAGAAAACTGACTCAGGCCTAGAGGTCCATGAGGGTGGAGGCACAGAGCTGCGGGGTAGGGAGGCGGGGAGACTGTGGCCCAGCCTCCCCCTCTTCTGTCCCCTCCCCCCCGAGCCCTTTGTGACGTGGCCACGGCTCTGTGATGTGAAGCGTGGGGCTCCAGCTCCCCAGTCACTCTCAGTGCTCACCTGCCTGAGGGTAACAGTGCGTTTTAGTGCTTAGGCTTTTCAGAGGAAAGAGATGCAGAATTCGCTCTTCCCTCCAGAAGGCGTTCAGGCCCCTTGGATGAGCTCCAGCTGCACTCACTGGATGGCC